AGATGAGGTAAGTAAGGGATGTAGTGTAAATGCCTACAGAACACAAATAGATCTTGCAGTTCTGACTATCTGGGCTGTGAGGCCTCAAAACTAACAACATTAAACACATCATACATACAGTTCCAGTGCGCAATGTCATTAGCCAATAAAGGATCGTTGATGGGCTCGCCATCCCATCCTACCAGCAGAGTGTTTGCTACTGATTTCAGAGGAGCAAGATTTCACCCCACAGGAAATCAAGGTAAGTGGAAAATTATATTCATTTCATTCAATTAAATAGTAAAGCTCACATGTTTTCAGGATCTCAGTCCACAGATATTTCCGTTTTCTGTCAGAAAAATGCAGTTGGAAGGATATGTAACATAAAGTACAAAAAAAGGTGCTTGTAACATAGAGTGAGACAAGGGGGCCAAAGCTGTAAATTCCTTCCATCGACATGGTAATCTGTATTTGTAAAAGGCCAATATTGAGCAAGCAGTGAAAACAGAAATGCATAACCACATCACATCATTCCACTGCCAGAAACATTCATACTAATTTCCACCATCAAACACACACTATGATTACTTWAAGGCTTTTGTAACTTATGAAAACAAAATCCTCAAACTTCACATTTTCATATTCTGTAACTCGAATATACATCAAATTGGCAACAATCTGTACCTTGTATATAAGCTTCCTTCAGAGTCACTAACATGGAATCAACCTCTTACAGTAAGTAAACACTTCTTTTTCTTGGGTTTTATGTTAAAAATTGAAAATTAATCTCACAAGTCATTTTGAGCCAGCAAAACAGGACTGACAAAGCAAGCACTGTAGTATGATATCTTTTATTAGGCCAACTTAGAGTTCAAAAGTATTTAAGTCTCCTTGACCACACACAGGTTCGTGTATGCAGAACTCCAGGCTGGACCCATAAAATGTATTAAACTACTTGCTTTGTCACTACCCATATATATATATACACACACACATATATATACACACATATATAATATATATGTATATAATGCATATGCATACACATTTGAAATGTTTCAGAATAAACTGTTCATTGATTCACATTTAAAATAACAACTCAGAAGGATTTCTATGCATTGGCATGTTGCTGTAATCTTGATATATATTATTGTGTTTAATAAAGAAAATTTATCACTACACAAAACAAATCCTGCTTCTGATTTCTAATTAGGTCTAATTCCTGTGAAAAAAGTCATAGTAATAGTGTTAGCAACCACACATTCTTTGCTGTTTGTAATAATAACAATGAGAATACCTGGCAAAGATGCAGCACAGTATTTCACATCAAGTGTTTTACAAGGATTAAAGCATCTAATACTAACCTTGTAGTACCTGTGATATTTCAGGATACTTTATGCAGGCAAGACCCATTCTAAATAGGTATGTCTCTTCTGCATAAGAATTCAAATGTTTCTAATGTTGTTACGTGCCCCAGTGAGGTGTGCATGTTACCTGCCACCTCTGCTTTCCATCCCACAAGCACATGAATGGATCACCACCGTGTTATTCAGGAGCTCTCAGTCCACATGAAAGCCTTGCTCCCCCAGAACAGAAGAGAGAGTGGTGGGAGCTACACACAAAGAACATATCGAAAACTGTGACAAAGGCAACCCCTCYCTTTCCTTCAAGTTCTGGCACCTGTGAAACTGTTTCTGGGTGTTTCATTAGGAGTGCAGTCACACCAGTAAATGCAAGCCATTCATTGTTACAAGGACTGGAGAATCCATGTCCCTCAAGCCTTTGGGCTACCAGCACATGCATGTAATGCTTCATAAATATGAGTATCAGTGATTGCATAGTGTGTCTACAGCCCTCAGCTACTGGCACTCTGCAGTGCCTTGTGCTCTAGTTGTACATGCCTTGGGATGGGTTGGGGGATCTGACAGCATCAAATGTGGCTCTGATAAAGCCTGCTAACTCATTTTGAACAAGTCTGAAGTTGACKCTGCATCCTCTTAAATCTGATCCTTAACAACAAAGGCTGTTTGAGACCAAAGAACATCACAGGTTTGTAGAAGAGCTTTGTCTGGCTATGGCAGTACACTCACAAAGGATGAACATTTTGATCCTTCTGCTGGTGAATTGGGTCATGGGAAAAATATTGGTAAGTAGATATACTGATGAATAAGAAACTTGAAACCACCTTTAGAATAAATTTAAGATGTGGCCTCAGAGTTACCCTGTCCACTTGAAAATAATACCGAGGATTAGACATGAAAGCTAGAACGTCATTTATCCCTGAGCTGAGGTAATGGCTACTAAAAATGTGGATTTCATTGACAGATGATTTAGTGAACATGATGACAGACACTCAAACGTGGCTCCGTTAAAGATAAAAGCGACATACTTAAATCTCATGAGGAGGGATTTTTTTCTTATTGATAGAAAATATATGTCAAGACCTTTAGAAACTTAGGAGCCACATAATGAGAAAATAACAGAATCAGCACTCATAGGTGTCTGGCTGACGTTCCCACTAAATGGGCTTTGATAGATCATTTTTTTCCTGACAAGAAAGGCACCAGAGGGATTGGCTGGATTCTAGTTCTTCGGTACAACCTATGATGAAAAATACTTCCTGTGGCCAAATGAAAAGACAAGGAGAGCACTTTCTCCCTGAAAATGTGGGCTTGTTTGCACCTATAGAGTGAGTCTAGTGCAGGGATATCATCCAAGAACATCAATACCATCAGGGCCGAAAAAGATTTAAAACTGTTCCAGATATTAGAATAGGACATTATGTTCTTCGAAGATGAGAGTTTTATCAGTGACTGAAAAGGTACTGAAAACCAAAAAACTAGAATCAGCTATTCTTTTGCTTTTGAGAGTTCAAACTCCATTGCCAGCTGTAATGCACTGGCTCAGTCAGCCTCAGTGTTTGGTGTCAATGAGGCCTGAAGAGAGCTGTCCTCCCTTTCTCTGCAGGCCTCAGTGACAGCTGCTGCAGGACTGGTCTTCTGGAAACACTGGTCTTGGGTGCAGCTGATGACAGTGGGTGGCCTCAGCCCTCTCATTTACAGGACACGAGAAGAGAGAAACGGACACTTCTACCATGGGGTTCTTCTCACCAAAAAGGAAATGTCAAAAAGAGGTAAGATGAATAATTCCCCAGAACTACCCACTTCTCTCCTAGATATAAACTAGTTTAGATATAAACATTCATATTGCAGACATCTGCAGTTAAATTAGAAGAATCYCACCTCAGACATCTGCATTTCAGAGGAAGAAGACATTGGTGCCATATAGCACAGATGTACCTAAGAGGCGATATTATCATCATAGTCTTACACATCACAAAGACTAAAATTTTGGCTACCAATTTTACTGTGAGCATTCACAAAGAATGTCAAACCTCACATTTGGAAGGAATGTGGCCTGTTTCTCAAGAGGAGAACACTGATTATATACATCATGTCATACATCTTTCACATATGGCTTAAAGCCTGAGAATTTCATAAAGCTGACCATTAAAAGAAACTGCACATGTATTAATTACTACTTTATTTATTTGCCAACAAACAAAGAGAAAGACCTATGACAAAAAATATATAGTAGCTATTAATTACAGTAATAGCAAACTAGCCCTAATTAATATAGCCAAACAAACACTAGGACTGATTTACTACTTTGCCAAGGAACTAAATGATCGAGATTTGTAAGTTTGAGGCTGCTTTTCACCTTTGGATGGAGTCCTTGCAGAGAAAGTATACATTCTGTGATTTAACAAGCTCAAAGAAAAATAAGCTTTTCTTCTTGCTCTGTAAGAAGATTCCTCCATAATATTTTCATAATTAAAACGTAGGAGTAGGCAGGTGAGAGGCAGAGCTATTCCATGTGAACAAAAAGATCAAAAAGAAAGGCATAATTGGGGCTCCTACTTCCAGTTCTTACTGCTCAAGTATAAAATTGCTGTAATGTTTTTCTAAGAGAGCTTTATTATGTTATTTCATAATGTCTTCCAAGCTAGAGTAAGGCTTTCAGTGTTTACACTGAAATAACATTAATTAGTGATGAAGGGTAAAATGAATGATCTGTTCAGCTGACCAAATGTCGTATCTAAGTAAGAGTAAGATGAATTGTCTCTAAGCTCCATTGACTGTATTGATTAGTTTGACTACCTCAGGGAAGGTTCAGGTTGGATATTAGGAAAAATCTCACTGAAAGATAGATTAAGCATTGGAACAGTTTGACCAGGGAAGTGGTGGAGTCACCATCCTTGAAAGGGCTCARAAAATGACTGGACATGGCACTTCATGATATGGTTTAGTGGGCATGGTGATATTAGATCAAATGTTGGACTTGACCGTGAAGGGCTTTCCCAACCATAAAGCTTCTGTGATCTATAATCGTATAACTACAAAGGGCATTTAGACACTCAGTTCACAGGTAGAAATCTACAGTTACCCCAAAGATAAGCAYCTAACATCTCTCCCAGGCCTCACAACTCTCACTGACATATAGGTGAATATTCCAGACTAACTAAGTGATGACTGAAATGACCCTAAAAAAAAAGAAAATAGAAATGATCCTAAAAAATACTGAGACAAGAATAAAATTCTATACTTGGGCAGCACTTAAAGGATGATAGGCTAAGGAACAATTCTGAGGAAAAAAAAATTATTAAACTAAAGATCTATCAACAGTGTGAATTGGTTATAAAAAACAGAACAATCATGATATGATGGGATGTACACCTGACAAGGCACAGGAAAGCACATCCTTCATTCTGTTTGTCATGGCTTATACTGCATCCAGGAATGCATGAGGAAAGATGGAAAATAAAAGTAAAGCTACAAGAATGGCTGGAGGTCAAGAATAATAAGTTATTCTCAATTCTTTTTAAATCAAGATCCAGAAAAGGTGGCAATGGGCTTAACTTGAAGAGAGGAGACTCAGTTTGCAGATCAGGCTTGTATGTGCAAATTGCACATGTCAAAAAGGACAGTTTTCTAAAATGATTCAACACTGAATTTAACTACCTTGATGAGAGGTTCTGTAATCTCCATCCTTGGAGGTCTTGGAAAGCAGGTTAAATCTGTAACAGAGAAGATAGGGTATTTAATGTGCCTGATGAGAAGGAAGGAGTAGATGACCTGGTATCTGCTCTAGCACTGCTTTCTGTAATTCTGTGATAACAAGTCATCATAGAGATCTGTCTTTGACTACAAGACTGTGTCATATCCATGATTCAGACACTCCTTCTTTTCTCATTCTTTTAAATAACATCAGCCAGTAATATTGACCTATTTTTCAGACAAAAAAAAAAATTTAAAAAAAAAAATCTCTTTTAAATAGCCACATAAATAGTTAATAAAATCATACAATGGTTTGGATTGGAACGGATGCTCAAAGACCATATAGTCCAATCTCCTTGTCATGAGCAGGGGCTCCTTTTACTAGATCAGGTTGCTCAAAGGCCCATACAACCTGACCTTGAACACTTCCATTGATGGTGCATCCACAGCTTGTCAGGGAAACCTGTGCCAATATCTCACCACCTTACAGCAAAAAAAAAAAACTTCTTTATGGCTAATTTAAACCTGTCCTCTGTCAGTTTAAAACTACTGCCCCTTTTCCTTGTCACTACAGTCCATCTGTGTGTCTTAGAAGTTCTCTCTATATATCGAGGGGCCACAATAAGGTCTGTCCAGAGCCTTCTCTTCACCAGACTGAACAACCCCAACTCTCTCAGTCTTTTCTCATGGAAGAGATTTTCCACCCCTTTAATCTTTTTTGTGACCCTTCTTTGGACCCATTCTAACTGGTTTTGTCTTGTACTGGGGAGACCAAAACTGAATGCAGTACTCCAGTGGAATCTCACCAGAGTGAAGTAGAGGGGCAGAATCAYGYCCCTCCACCTTGGCCACGCTTCTGTTGATGCAGCCCAGGATACAACTGGATTTATGGGCTGACAGCTCATGTCCAATTTTTCATTAATTATTATCCCTTGTCTGCCCTCTCAATCCATTCATGCCTCAGGCTGTATTGATAGTGGTGACTGTCCCAACCCAGGTGCAGGATCTTGCACTTGGCCTTGTTGAACTTCATGAGGTTCCCATGAGGCCAGTCCTCAAGTCTGTCAAAATGCCTATGGATGGCATCCTTTCCCTACAGCAAATAACTGTACCTCTCAGCTTGATGCCATCTGCAAACTTGCTGAGGATGCACTGATCCCACTGCCAACATAATTGAGAAAGATATGAAATAGTGTTGGTCCCAGTTTGGACCCTTGTGGGACACATCAGACATTACTGGTTTCCACTTGGATATTGACTGTAACTCTTTGAATGCTTCCATCCAGTCAATCTCTTATCCATCTGACATTCCATCCATCAAAACCATACCTCTCCAATTCAAAGGTAAGAATGTTGTAGAGGATTGTATCATAGGAATAACAAAATTCCAGGTAGATGGCATCCATACCTCTTTCCTTGTCCACTGATGTAGTCACTCCATCATACAGTACCAGGAAGTTGGCCAGGAAGGACTTGCCCTTGGTGAAACCATGCTGGCTACCTCTAATCTTGCCAGGCTGGAGATAGGGCTGACTGGTTGGTAATTCCCAGCATCCCCCTTTTTACTGCTTTAAAAATGGGGGTGATGTTTCCTTTTTTCCAGTCAYTGGGAGCTTCACATGACTGCCATGATTTTTCGAGAATGATGGAGAGCAGTTTGGCAACCACATCAATCAATTCCTTCAGGACTCTGGAATGCACCTCATCAGGTCCCACARGCTTGTGTTCAGGTTCCTCAGGTGGTCTCAAACCCACTCCTYTCTTACAGTGGAAGGGACTTTGCTGCCCCAGTTCCTGTCTTGAAGTTCAGGTGTTTGGAAGATGCGGGAAGGAACATTACCATTGAAAACTGAGAAGAAAAAAAAAGCAGAGAAGTAACTGAGCCTTCTCCATGTCTTCTGTCACTAGTCTTTCTATTTATTGGGGCAGGGCATGGTGGTGTAACCCTTGCAAATTTCAAGAAGTGCATAACTACATTATTGTTGAATCTTTAAGTACAAACTGAGCAGTTTCATCGTTGTGATTTCTAAAAAAATCACATTCACATTCACAGCCACATCAACTGCATAGCACAATAAACATGACATGTAGCAGATACAAAACTGTACATGCAATGTCATGCAGTACTTTTGCACCTTTTGAAGTTGCCTGTAAAATCCCTGAAGCAAAGGGACCAAAGAAAACTCTGATGTCTCTGTCATATTTAAACATAACTTTCATTTTCTTCAGCAACTTCCCTGCAGAATAATATTATCACAGACCCAGAAATATGACCTCATTCTTTGACTTTTCAAAACAGATGGGTTGAGGGATCACCATGAAAACTACAATTTCATAATCTTCTGACATAACTGTTAAAACCCTATGTTTTCTCAGAAACATGCTGTCCTTTTGCACTGATTTTAGGCAATTTTCTGACATTGTATTTGAAGGACCTTGTTCCCAGGGCTGAAAAATTACTTTGTAATTTGTTCTAGATGGTCCAAGTATACACCCACCGCTTATGTGAGGTCCTACAGAAATAATGCAGTGCCTTCCAGCAAATTGATGTTTGGGTGGAGAAGGAGTATGAAAAAGGCCATTAGCATTTTAAGGCCAAGTGTTCTTTCACATCTGTGGCTTCATCTGCCTATGCTTCTTCATTCCTGAAATTAATTATAATGTTACTGTTATCTGTTTCTTAGGAGTTTTTACCAAATTATTGAATTGAATTTAATTTCCCAGTTCATTTTCAGGACAGACATTCTTATTTGCATCACAGAACTCCAAGGGGCAAGTCAAGCATAAATGGTGTCTTGTGCTCTGCAAACTGCTGTAAATGGATACATGCAATGTCTCTTCCCTGGGCCTTGGCAAAAAACCCTTTAAAACTTCTGTTCAGCATGTTGGTCATTTATATGCCAAGCTTAAAAAAGTAGAAAATTGCTACCAACTTTTAACACTGTGACCTTACMTATAGAAGAAGTCATCAGATCTATCAAATTACCATAAAATTCCAATGCCATTATTTTGTTTCTATAACCCCTTAATTAGCAATGCAGAAGACTGTGGCTCTGGGACAGGCACAGTCCTCTGGAACTCCATCAGTGACATTTTCCACCCAGATCCCATAGCACTGGCAGTTTATCTCTGCTGTCAGGTCAAAGACATGCTCAAGATTTGTCTAGACAAGGCACTTTGAGAAAACTTATGTGGATCAACCAAATGAAGTGAACTATGTGTTGGATTTACACTCTGAATAAATATCTTCACAGCTATTTATTACTATCCAGTAAATCTGCATTAGAAATCTATTGAGATTAGCTTCCATGTCTCATTCATAACACAATGGCAATTTCTTAACAGGAACTCCCTAAAGTGAGCCATAAAGTTCTTTCTTAAGACTATTTCAGCCAGAAGAGACTTGATCTAAACCCACAGTTCTTAACCGGGCAACAAGAGGAATGATGGCAGCTACAAGGGAAGTGATCTATCAAGCAGACTAGAAGTGTTTGGTATTATAAATGCAGCATTTAGGTATTCTGTATTTAAATAGAGCCTTGCTGGTATCAAGCTTTCCTAAAATTCAAATTAATGGCACATTCAAAATGTGGAGATTTGGCCCCTCTTTCCATAAGAATTGAGGAAGTGACTTGTTATGCACCTGACACAAAGGAAAGCAAAAGAAAAAAAAAAAAAAAAAGCATAACTTAACATTAGACATATAAAATACACCTGACCTGTCCATGTTCTGCACAATTGGGTATTTGTGGGTGCATCTCCTCTCTAAAATAGACTACATGAATTATATACTCAAACTTCTCTCTACTGACCATAAAGAAGCATGATGTTACATGATACACACTGTGTACCTCTAAAKATAAATTACATTAATGTGTATCAAGTTTTCCCTAATATTTGTTTTATCATGGCATGCCCTGCTAACAATGATCATGTTAATAATGACTGCAGGTTTCAGATCTCTGACTGCAAGTTGCATCTCCCTTGTCCCTCTGCAGGTCATGTTCTGGGCATTTTCATTGTAAATCTGAATCAAAGTCAAATTTCAACCTTTTGTTTTTTTTCTTTTGGTGTGTTCCAATGATCCCGCTGTTCTTCTTTTGCTACAAATAGCATCTGAATGTTACTTGGCTAGAGCACTGGTGTTTTAAGACCCCATGCTCACCTGTAGAAAAGACAGATGGAAAATGCTCGAGGGCTTTGTCTCACATCAGATTGCTCTAGCAGTCCCACTGCTGAGACTGTGACACCACAGCAACCCTGGCAGATGCACTGCAGCCTGTAAGATCTGCTTCTCCAGCCTCATCTCAGGAGGCTTGGGGCATCCCCTCATAGGCCCAGCCTTCACCTGAGGCCACAGTTTGAGAACTGGTGCTCCAGGACTCAAAAAGGCTTGAATTAAGCAGATACGGCATTTYCTGGTTAAACTAGGTGGATTCTTAGTTTCCTTCTGCAGTAGGATAACAGATGGGAAAAGCAGGAGGTGTTATGACTTGACTGTTTTTGACACTGACATGTATTATTCTTCTACCTCAGACGGAGAAACACAGTTTAGAGGAAACTGATACACWAAGAGTACAAACTGGCGGGGAAGTTCATTCACTAGAAGCATTTACCAATGGTTAGTTACTGAAATGGAAGCATATATAGAGTGGAATTCCTCAGGAATCCATGCTAAACTTCGAGCTTCTCAGTACTTCCATTAACAACCTGAATGAAGGAAGATAAAATGCTTATTCATTACTGCAGATAATCCCATAGAGACAGACAGCTCACTGAAAAATAGGACTGAAATTCAGATCATCTTAACATGTTGGAGAAATAGTCTTAAAAATAAAAATATATGGCAATCTTATGTAAGGATGTATGCTAAGTCCTGCACTTCCTCACTAACACAAATACAGGGTAGACAAAGAAGTGGTAAGACAGCAACCCAACAGAAAGGGGCTAGGGGAGCACAGCCAGTATTTAATCAACAGTGCTGCTGCAATTAAAAAAAAAAGAAAAATTAAAAAGTAAATGCCATGCTGGTATCAATAAAGAGTAAGAAAGCCTTTGGGAGACTTGAGTTGTGGCAAGGTCCTAGATGGAATACCAGGTCTAATCTGAGATATGGCAAAAGAGAAAATGGACAGAGTTCAGAAAAGAGAGAGAAGAATTGTCAGAGGCAAAAAAAATAATACCAATGAATAACACCAATGAAGAAAATGCAGAAGAACAGTTTAGTCTAGAGATGACTATAGAAAACACACCAAGAAAATACTTCCAACAGGTGGGATGGTTAAACACTGGCATAGATCGCATGAGGGTGTGTGAAATCTCCATCCCTGGATGTCTTTAGGAACAGGCTAGACAAATGGAAAAGACAAAGGGTAGCAGACCATCAGGGCATAGGGAGAGGTTCAATGATCTCTGGGGTCCCTTCTACCGCTATTTTCTAGGATACAGTCATTCTGCACCTTCTAAACTTTTTGTTGTGAGCAGTTGTGTTTAGAGTAATTGTGCAATTGGAGCTGAATGAGCCTGAGCTTTTTACTTGTAATAAATTCAGTAAGTTCGCTACTGCTCAGAGTTCACCACACTAAAGCTAAGGCAGTTAGACAGCCTGCTTTTATAATGCTTTCAGTGAATAAATTTGCACAGCTGCTACCTACAGTCTACATTATTGCTCAGCACCACTTTGTTAATTTGGAATCCAGATCTGGTGACTGATTTAGGAAAACAGTTCAGCTAATCCCTAGTGAATAGAAATCCTCAGCCTAAGATTGTATGGCTCACCAGATTCCCACACGTGCAAAGGCAGCAGCTGCCTTGCAAAGGGAAGTTAAAATATCAAGCACAAACTTCAGGGGGTTTTCATATGACATGCTTATTTTCCTTCCTCAGAGACCATGGGGTCCAAAAGGAAGGAGTAGAGACAATCACAAATTTTCCCAGTAGATGATTTTCATMCGAAGGTGGAAAGTGCACGTATGTGTTCTAGAGACCCCTGTGAGGGCAATGATCCTGGCAGGAGAACATTCAGGGCTAGTGTTAAAAAAAAAATAAATTTTCCTAATTAGCCTTGTCTTGTTTTTTCAACCAGCCAATACAWTTAGTGTACATAGCCATGTGATATGAACAACCCATATATTTTAAACAATCTCCATGTAACTGCCTTCTGCATGACAAAACACATTCAGAGTGCTATGAATCACAGCTCCTTGGTGAGAGTTTCTGGGCAGGCATTCATTGTTACAGGAAGGCTCCTGTGCAGATTGCTTCATGCCTGATAGGACCCCCTTGACTGACCCACAATCTGCTGAGCTTTGGGAGACCACCTAAGACCCATTACTTCACTCAAACTTGGTATGAGATGGGCAAGCACCTGGGATGTGGAGACAGGTCAGTCAGTCAGTCAGACATTTCTTATATACCATACCTGTTCTTGCAGCTATCCAAATTAAGAAACAAATGAAAAAATGTAATAAAACCAACTATCTTAATTATAAAAATGAAAAGTCATTTCTTCCTTGAAATTATTATTATAAAGACATAAAAATTGCTCTCAGGTAACTCCTTCTGAGTGGCACTGCATTAGTGAATGGTTCTAATGCAGCTGAAACTAGCTGATAAAGACAAGCACAAAACTTCCACCTACCCATATTCAGCAGAATATGCCTCAACTGGAATTTTCTMTATTTTCATATCTATAATACAAATTTTGAGAACATTATGCAAATTGTCTAGCTATATATTGATTTATATATGCCCCTGGATATCTCAGACACATGTCTCCCTCTTCTCATTCTTGCACTGAACTTCTTTTCATTTCTCCCCCATACTTTCTTCCATTGTTTCTGAGATTTC